TAACTTGTTCCTCATTCTAGCCTGGGGCTGTGCTAGATCGGCTCTGCCCTCGCTGAGCGTTTGTTAATCCTCTTTGAACTTCAGTCCCAGGCCTTAGGAATTTGGCTGCCAGTGCTTTCACACTTCTTGATGTAGATGAAACCCTCTTTTGGTGTGAAATTCTTTCTGCTCTTTCTGAATAGCAGTCCAAGACTTTCTCAGAATCCGTAGAAATGCTTATCTTCACTGCCTCACTACGTGGGCTTTTCTGCCCCATTTTTCCTGCTCTCAGGCATCTTCCCATTTTGCATTCTTTAATCTGACCCTCTAGTGCTTTTTTGTGTCAGGTAGGGCTGTAGTCACTTGGTAAGACTGTATGATTCTGGCAGTGTTGGGATAGTGGGAACATCTAGGTGGAAGATGACATTTATGAAAATACTTCTGCTTTGAACTCCTTACTTCCTTTTCCTGAGGGTTTAAATCCACTTTGGAATTCAACAGATAACTGAAATCTACCAGCTATACTTAAACACTGCCTAGCTGTGTCGTAAGCTTGGCAGGAACCTGAAATTACATTAAAGAAGTTTTTTGCTGATGGTGTCTCTGATAAACATCCTAAGCTTTGTGAAACTTGTGTAGTAACGTTCCAGAACTATGTAGTGGTGTTTTCACCTTGTCCCTGAGCTCTGCTAACTTTGCAGTTTCACCAATAACACTAGCTTACGGTGGCAAGTTTTATCTGTCTGCGTTCTTTTAGCATCAAAGTACCAGGATCTTCCCATTTGAATCCTTCATCGAGGTGGGCCCTCAGCTGAGGGTACCTGATGAAGGTAGGAATGAGCAGGGTCCCTTGGGCTGCAGTTTTGCTGCCAGCTGAGTAACATGATGGCCTCCAGTCATGGCATAAAGGCTAAGTGATGTATTTCAGGAGAAACACCTAGAAATACACAGCAGCATTTCCAAGTCAAGCTTGTATTTTCCTTATTGGCTTTATAGAGTCATTAAATGCAGAGTTCTGTCTCAGGACAGTATTGCTCCCTTGATATGCATTTCTGCTCTGGTATGTTTGCGTTGCTGCAGGCCGCAATCTGAAACATTAGCCTCAGTATTTAAACTTCAGCCCTTTTAGAAGTGTGGTCCTGCCCTGATGGCTCAGAACCACAGCACTGATGTTCTTCCTTGCCCCTTGTCTCAGAAGTGCCCTGGAAATGAGAGGAGAAATTGTGTCTGAGCCTTAAAAGCACCATAACAACATTCAGGAGAATTACCGTGTCCATTAGTGCTACAAGTCAATACCTCTTTAGATGAGCAGCACTCTTGACTGGATAGGCTTTGCAGATTGACTGCTGTCTTGCTCTTTGTTGTTAAAAAAACAATATTTGACTTATATCCTACAGGGAGGTAGTTTAATTCTGGTGCAGATTGAGTATTTTTAATGTATTAACTTACAAAGGTACAATATCTGAATTATATCCTATAGGGAGGTAGTTTAATTCTGGTGCGGATTGAAAGTATTTTTAATGTATTAACTTACAAAGGTATGGCCGTTGTTGGGGTGCTTTGTGAGCACTGACAGTGTATAATTGCTGCTTTGTTGGTTTTCTGTTAACTATTGAGCATTCCTCATCGGGGAGAGGTAGGAGACAGCCTGAGAAGCTGAGTGATTACTTGGTCTATACTTGTGTTCAGTGGAAACTTTAGCAATTTGCAATTTCAAACAAGAGGTAAAAACCTAGATACGATTAATATTGCAAAGAGGGGAGCAAACAGCTCAAGGGATGAAGCATCTGGGAAGGATCAAACACGATAAGAATCTGGTCTGAGGTGGAGGGGCCACCTGGAGGCAGTTTCCTCCTGACAGTCAGGAATGAATGGAATGGGCTTTACATTCTTGTTTATAAGTTGGAATAACTGATTGTTCACCCTTGGTGCTTAGGAGGTGAATTTTGTGATGTCTGGAAGAACCAGACTGGTCTGATAGATGTCAGGTGGAAACAGGAGTGGCGGTTGGTTGTTTTGAAAGTGTTGTTGACAGGCTGAGCTCAGAGTGAAACCCAGAACTCGTAATGGGCGTGCTGGCTTCTGTGTAGGTCTCATGCATAAATTCATTCTGATTTGGAAGGCAAAACGGGCCACTCCTTTTTCATTCATCTGGAGGACTATAGACTATCTTTTGATGTACTTGGCCTGGGGAATTATCCAGGGGAAATACACCATCTCCCCTTTGGTAGAATCATGGATTGTCTGTTTTTTCTTTACCAGCGATCCCAGATCTTTTTGCCAAGGCTACATAAGGAACTAGATTCTAGACTTCAAATAGACCCTGCCACAGGCTTTCATGTCACTCCAGAGGAAGGTGTTTAAGCTGTGTGGTTCCTGACTTGTGACTTATCAGGTCTGGAAATCGGTGCCCAGGAGCCTGAACTGAGCATGTGGCCACACGTAACATCGCATGAACGTGGTGCTGTACTGCCGTTCTTCACAACCAAAGCTTGCCTTGATCAAGCTTGCAAGCTGCTTCTGGCCCTCAGATCATCCACTCTGGTGTGAAATGCAGCCTCTCACCTAACTGAAGAGAGCACTTATTCTGACTTTAGCAAAGATCTGTAGTCTTTCTGACCGTTCTCTTTCATCACTGCAAAACTCAACGGATTCTCAGATGCTGCCATCTTCTTCTGTGCAGGCAGGACTTTGTGTCTTCCAGATGGAGACATATGAGTGGCTCAAGACCACTAAGAAGAGTCACAGTATGCCATAGTTCCTGCCTGAGACTTTGTAGCCAGCACCTTTGTTTTATAGACAGCTTATGAGCATTAGACCCAACCCTAAAGCACATAGCGAGGTACCAAGAAACTCTGGGCTAGGCAGAGAGTGGGCTACCGTGGGATATGCAATGTGATGTTGGTCTTGTGGGCTGGCTGTGACTGCATCTGGTGGTTCCAGATAAGCCTTGCATCACTCTCTCCTAGTCCTGCATTCTGGGTCATGCTTCCTCCCTGATCGCCCCTTACCTCCGCATGTGTATGTCAATGTGATGGCCGATGCCACCCCTTTCCTAGCCTGTCCCTAGTGCTGTCTCGGTGTCCTTAGCTTTTGTAGAGGTTCTGGCTTGTGTGCATCAGTAAATTCTGTCTCGTGTTGTCTGGTGAGCGACTTGAAAATGGGACTTGAGAGGGGGAAAATAGAAGGGAAGAAGTAGAAAGGGCATCTGTTCTTCTGGCCAGGATGGGGGTAAAGGAGAGTTAGCAGCATCTTAACGTTGCGTCTGGTTGTATGTGAGTTCTCTGTCTGCCATTTGCAGCACCAGGTGGTCATCTGTGACAAACAGGCAGTGTTCCTGGAAGCCACAGGTTTGAGATGTCAGTTGTTGCATGGCAAGTGTAACCAAGCAGTGGTTGAGGGCCAGAGCCCATGCAAAGGTGAGAAAATGGGTGCATGCTCTGAATAGTGTAAATGGAAAAGGTATCTTTTAAGGGGAATGATGTATTTCAGGGGTGTCCTGCGTAAGTAGTGATCCTTGCTGCTTTTCTGTGCTGTGGTCTGTATGGGATGGTTGTGCCATGGGTGAGGGAGGATGGTGGTGGTGTGTATAACCTCAGTAGCCCCTTCTACTGCTCCATGCTCCTTTTGCTCAGCAGGAAAACATAGCTCTTGGAGCAGGATATCTTTTAAGGGGAATGCTGTATTTCAGAGGTTTCCTGCGTAAGTAGTGATCCTTGCTGCTTTTCTGTGCTGTGGTCTGTATGGGATGGCTGTGCCGTGGGCGAGGAAGGATGGTGGTGGTGTGTATAACCTCAGTACCCCCTTCCACTGCTCCATGTTCCTTTTTCTCAGCAGGAAAACATAGCTCTTGGAGCAGGGTGAGTAGCAAGAAATTTGGAAAGACTTTCACCCTTCACACTAAAGGAGCCATCTCATCTCCACTGCTGCTAAAAAGCAAATCATCCCTATGGAAATGGATTGGGTGTTATGTCGGGGAGAGAACCAGACTTTCCCTCAAATTCCCTATGTCCAAAAGATTTGTGACCTGGTTCTAACTTATCTAAATCTCACAGTTTTGCTAACATGTCTGCTGAGCTTGGTCATGCCCATCTGCTTGGGTTTTGTTCATGGGGCTGAGATCTCTGCTGGCAGAAGTCCACTGATGTATGAAGACTTGCTTTGGGGAAAACTTGGCTTGTTGTCTCTGAAGCCTCAAGTGGTGGCTGGGAGTGTCCTCCCTGAGATAAGGGTGCTTTATGGGTTGTGTGGCTCCAGAGGGACGGAGACTGCTTGCTTTCTGCAGGGTTTTTACACAGAAAGCTTTGTTTGCAGCTCCTTCCAGCTCAGGTTGGAAAAATTATCTCTGTGGATGGAAAAATCCAGGAGGCAGTGAACAGCTTGTTTGGCAATTTCCTTGGAGAATCCAGCAGCCCTTCTTGGCCCATTTCTAGAAGAGGCTTGTGATGATGCTTGCTTCTCGTCTTTGGGATGTGACTGGGACTGCCCTGTTTCTAGGAATTTCTTGGTTTCCATGGCATGAAATGGCTTTGTTCTGTGTGCAGGACTAAGCTTTAGGTGAAGCAAGAAGCAAACGCACCAGACCACAAACAGTTGCTCTGGGATTGTGTGCAGGATGGAAGGAGTGATGGTTGTGCCTGTGAGGAGCAGTTTTTGCGGTGTCCCCCTGGGCAGTGGAGCAGGATTAATGCTCTGGGTGCTCTGCTCTGTACTTGAGGCCTCCATCCCTACATGCCTTGAGGCACCCTGGCTTCCAATCCTTCCCCTTCTTTTAGGGCTGGAGCATGGACTCCTGTTTTCCATTTACATTGTTGACTTGCCTGGCCCTTCATGTTCAGGTTTCTTCTTCCATACTAGGCCTGTGGTAACTCTGCTGAAAATCAGGTTTAGCTTTGCTGGCAGCTGTGGCAATCCAGATTTCTGCGTTTTTATGGTGGTTTCCCATTCTCTGTTTACCCCTTGCTGCCAAGACCACGATGTAGTCCTTAAACTCCCTGTAATCTCTGGCATTTCATCTGCAGGTGATGACAAATATGGAAGGAAAGTCATTTTGTTCAGTGCCTGCCGGATGCCCCCAAGTCATCAACTTGATCACGTGAAACTGCTGGGGTGAGTAGTGTTTTAGGAGGCTGCTGCTAACTTCTTAAGCCTGACAGAATTCCCAGGTGCTGGATTCCTGGGGCCAGGTCTCTCTGCAGTAGCTTCTTTAGCTGGACATAAGACTTTAGTCTTCCCAAAGGGCTTGCCTCCTTTGCTGGGGATGCAAGTCCTTTGTTACGGCACACAAAAACGAGGCCCAAAGGGAGGAAGAGCCTCTCTGTGGCAGAGCATGAAGTGAGTTCTGCAGTTGTCTCTTCTCAGGTACCTGAAATTCACACTGGACCAGTACGTGGAGAGTGATTACACGCTGGTGTACCTTCACCATGGCCTGACCAGTGAGAACAAGCCATCCCTGAGCTGGCTGCGGGATGCCTACAGGGAATTTGATCGCAAGTGAGTTAAGGCTGCAGCAAGCAAGGATGTGACATCCAGTTCTGTAGCCTAATCTTGTGGAAAGCTTGGTTCCTCTGCTTAAAGTACAGCTCATCCTTACTTAGCTTCTCTTGGCAGGTACAAGAAGAACATCAAAGCCTTGTATATTGTGCACCCCACCATGTTCATCAAGACCTTGCTGATTCTCTTCAAGCCTCTGATCAGGTAAGAAGCAGTGTAGGAGGCTCACCCACATCTTCACACTGCAGGGGAATAACGGGGGGCACTAGATGAGCCCAGGCTGCTGAGCCTACCCTGGAGTCTCTCACCCTGTGCCATCTCCTCCTATTTCTCAGCTCAGAAATACTCAGACATAGGAAGTATTGCTTTGGGAACCTACAGAGTTTGCAGCTCGGTGCTGCTCCCTTTTATCCAGCCAAGTAGAAGTAAAGTGTTGCAGGCTCTGCTAATAATGAGAAAGGAAGCGAGAGCATCCGTCCTAATTCCATTTAATTCATTGTGTTGATGCTGAAATCCTAACTCTGTAAAATAATTGGGGAAAAAAAAACTTTCTCCAGCCTACTTAGGAAGGAGAAATCCGGCGTTTTAGGGAGCCTGCTGCTGCTAGAGTTTCTAATGTGACTTGGAAAGTCTTGTCATCTCCTGGTAAAATATATGGAATTGGAGAGCTGTGTGGGTCACATCTGTGCTGCTCAGCCATACCTGCCCCTTTGCCCCATTGATGTCTCTTGCAGACCCCTGCTCTCCTCACCTGCAAGAAGTCCGTTCTGATACTGGGTTTCCTGATTCCTCACATACCTACTTTTCTCTTGTTTTTCAGCTTTAAGTTTGGACGAAAGATTTTTTATGTGAACTTCCTTAGTGAGCTGGAGGAGTATGTGAAGCTGGAACAGCTGGGGATCCCAAGCCAAGTGCTGAAGTGAGAGTGCTGCCTGTCTCCTGTTTGCTTAGGGCTCTGTGAGAGGGGACTTTTCTGGCAGAGTGGCAAGGGGAGGGAGAGAGATTCCACTCGGGCAGTGGTTTTGAGAGAGTGGTGACAAATTGCCTTCAGGACTGTTGTTTCTCTCCTGTGTGTCCTTGGCCCCAGTGCCCAGTTCTGTCCTTGAGTTAAAAATCCTCCTCTGGTGGAGCACCAGCCCTGCCTCTCCCATTCACCCCTCGGGGACTTCCTGCAAGCTCCTGACCTTAACACTGACCTGGAGCTCGGGGGGAGCATCTGCTGTGTCTGGGCACCTGCTTTGCTCACTCTGCACAGTTCACCTTGTCTTTGGGGCTTCCCAAAGTTGCCACAATCTTGGTCCTACCAGATTGATTTCCTGTCCCTAACACACGGAGGCAACTGTCTCATCTCAAGCAGTGCTGTCCAGCCCCCTGCCCACACTGTCTGTCATCCTCAGCTACTCCAGCTCCTGATTCCAGATAAATATTCCTTTCTCCCTGCTTTTTTTTTTTTTTCCTGGCAACCAGACGTTTGTTATATTTCCTCTGTGCTCCACAGCTGCCTGTCCTGTATTTGCATAGATGGAATCTACCATGCTAGGCTGGAGCTGTTACCAGTGGGTGTGCAGTGCTGGGTTCATGCTCATTCTGGGAGGTGGAGTGGCTTTTTACTAGTCTATGTTTTGCCCCAGATACGATGAATATCTGAGATCCCTGCAGAAACCCTCACAGGTGCCCCAGAAGCCAATGCCCCCGCGCCCACCGCTGCCAAACCAGCAGTTTGGAGTCTCTCTCCAGCAGTGAGTATCTCTGGATTGTGTTGCTTTTACCCTGACTTGCTTGGTGTGAGCTCACTGGATTTAGAACTGAACAGCAGCAAAAGTGGCTGTAAAATTTCTTGCAGTTCAAACTTCCTACAAAGCTTTAATCATTCTTCTGAGGAACTCTGCACTTGTGTCCGGATCCTGGTTGACTCAATTCAGTTCCACCCTCTTGATTCCCCAGCTAGATTGTATCTAAACTAGGATGAGGCTGTTTCTGCTGCTAAGGGTCACTAAGGGAGGAGCAAAGTAAGGGCCATGAGGACAGCTTTATGCCACTAGAAACTTCCTTTATGCAAAGGAAGTCCGTAGGAGGCTGATGGAGGTGTCTTTAGGGCTATGGTATTTTTTTTTTAGATTTTTCCATATCACAAATGCTATTTTAAAAGCACTTCTGCTCACCCTTGTACTGATTCCCATCCCTCATTCCTGCACGATGACACAGCCAAACACAGACACTGGCAAGAGCTAGTGCTACTGGCTAAGTGGTGAAGGTATTTTTAACTTTGAGTGTGATTTTGCTTCCCTGGGGAATGAGGAGGAGCCGGTACTGTGTGGCCAGACAGATGCTCTGAAGCAGTCTGGGAACATGTTGCCCAGCTTCAACACAACATTTCCAAATGTAAATGTAAGTGCTGTGTGCCAGAGCTTGTCAGCAGCCTGAGAAGGGTGAGCAGCTCCATGCTATCAATCAGCACAGACCATCAAATAGGAGGGTGGCAGCAAACACTTTCTTCCCTGACAACCACTGGGTTGATATTTTTTCCATTCCAGCAGTGGGGTGGGTAAACTTATCCCATATATATATATATCTATATATCTCTTGTGTCAGCTTCTTTCATCCCTTGCTGCTATGAGGAGGCAAAAAGGAAGCTTAGTCCTTTTCAATCCTATCTGGTAGAGCTTGTGTGGGCAACTTCAAGACTCAGGGGCTGCTTGCAGGGCAGGGAGGACCAGGGATTTGTAACGTTTTGTCTCTTCCTGCAGTCTCAGGGAGAAGAGTGCTGATCAGTCTCCTGTTCCTCTGGTGGTCAGAGACACCATTGCTCATCTGCAGGAGCACGGTAAGTGTTCAGGGGAAGCTGCAGCCCCTCTTAATTCCATATCAGTGGCCTCTCTTCCAACCAAGTTCCTGTTGTGGTAAGATAAAGAAGAACAGCAGTTTAGAATGGAAAGGCCTGAACTAGGTGAGTTAGACTTCAAGAGAGATTGTGAAGGGCTTAGGAGACCCTCTTTCTTCCAGTAATCCATACTCCCAATTGTATAAGAGTAGCAAAATACTCCTTGTATCCTTTGCCTGGTAGTGGAAAGAGACAGAATTGCAATACTCAAACAAAGGGACTTGTTGACATCTGTCTGAACGCCTCACAGCATGGATTTATGATCATGAAGACAAGCATTTAGAGACTCTGACGTGGCTGATCTTTCTTCTCCATCTGCTCTCACTTCACAGCTCTTACTACAGAGGGGATTTTCCGGAGATCAGCAAACACACAGGTTGTCAGGGAGGTCCAGCAAAAGTACAACATGGGTAAGTGCCCAATCTCAGCAGAGCCCCTCTCGTTCCCTAACTACTGCTGTCCAGCTGGAACTGTGTTGGAACTAGTCCATCGTGGCTCCTCTCCTTCTCTGATAGACCTCTAGGTGAGGCCCCGTGAGGGTATGACCTGAGTTGCAAAGGGAGAAGCATCTGGTACTTCTGCTGTCGTGGAAAACATGTTCCTTCCCATTCACATTCCCCTTGCTGCCCTTTTCCTTCCTGAAAATTTCCCTGTTTCTCAGGTTGGGATATACCATCTTAGTCTGGTTATACTGAAGGGACTGAAGATGACCAGGAAGAAACTTGGTCATCTGTGTCATTTGATGACTTTTAAAGATGTATTGCTGGATTCAGCAGTGCTTTGTGTTTTGGGACACTTTTTTCCACTCTGCTGGAAGATGTGGTGCATCAGTACCCTGTGTTCTTTAAAAGAATGCCTCCCTAGTTCTGGGCTCTGACCACCATGGCCCATTCTTTGTCTGGAGAAGGTCCTGCTTTGGCCAGTGAGCACTGAGTCTCTGCTCTACTTTCTCAGGTGTGCCTGTAGATTTCCAGCAGTATGAAGACGTCCACCTTCCTGCTGTGATTCTCAAGACCTTCTTCAGGGAGCTACCTGAGCCCCTCCTCACTTTTGGCCTCTACAGTGATGTTGTCAACTTCCAGAGTGAGTCATAACAAGGGTGTGCTACTCCCCGAATGTTGCACTGGCCAAGGGCAAAGATATCTTTGCGGGGGGCAGTCCTGTGTGGGATACCCTGTGACTGCAAACAGGGTTTTTGGCAGGGTGGGTGCTGAGGATTCCTCATGGACCTGCTTGTCCTGTCTCTCTTGATTTTTAGATGTGGAGGAGGTAAATCGTGTGGATGTCGTTCGCAAAACACTCCAGACTCTGCCAGAAGAAAACTACCAAGTGCTCCGTTTACTGACAGCCTTTCTGGTGCAGGTGAGTGGGACAAACTGGAAGCAGGACCTACCAGTGAGCTGCTCCAGAGGTGGGCAGTCGTATTCCAGTTCAGTTGCCAGTGCCTTGCATCAGCTTTTTGAGTGCCTGCTCCCTCTTTTCCACTGAGAGGAAATGGGTCTCTAGCTTGGAAATTGCCTTTCTTTACTTTATGTTCTTGTTAGACAGAGATCCAGGATGATCAGGATGAACTAGCCTAAGGGAGTTGCTTTCTCATAACACTGAGAGGTGCATTAAGCCCATGTGGTTGGTATCAGGGAGGCTGAAACCTCCCCAAGATGGAGGTACAACTGCAAAATAGCTGAGTCGAAAATTAGACTAGAAAAGGGGTTTCAAACCCTCCCAACAGAACTTTCTGCTGCCAGGGAAGCCACTGCAAGGCCATTCTAGCAAGAGGGAAGATTTTGTTTTGAGTGGTAATCTGGACTGTAGAGGTACTGGCTGATGGTGCTCTTGGTCCTATTGCTATGATATGGCCTGGTGGTTAAGCCACACCTCCTGAATGCTGGATTCCACGTGTATTTCCCCCAGACATCTTCTGGCATTGGGCCTTCAGCTTCTCTCTTCCCATTTGCCCTTGGGAATCTGTCAGCTCTGGCTTTGGGGAGGGTAGAGGGCAGCTGCTGTGGTGTTCTGTAGGATTCACAATGGTCTTCTTTCCTTCCCACATAGGTCTCTGCTCACAGTGACAGAAACAAGATGACAAACACCAACCTGGCAGTTGTGTTTGGTCCAAATCTGCTGTGGGCCAAAGACGTAGCCATCACCCTGAAAGCCATCAACCCCATCAATACCTTTACCAAGTTCCTGCTGGACCACCAGAAGGAGCTCTTTGAGGATGTGGAGGCCTGAATCCAGGCCAGGCCACACCAGCACACTGTGCCCACCTTCCCACCTTCTTTCCCACCTTGTCTTGGAGCTGTTTACAAGCTGTCTCCAGTGCAAAGGGACCATTGATCCTCTGGGTGATGAGCTGTGGGCTGTGGAGATGGTGGAGAGAAGCGTGTAAGTAAGAGAGCAGGAGACCTGCTGCTCCACGTGGGGAGGGGAGCTGGTCTCCCAGCTGCTGAGAGTGGAGTCCTAACCCACCTGCCAGTCTGTGCAGCTCCTCCAGGGAGGAGGAGCTGCACAGGAGGACTCATCACCAGTCTGGTGCCCTATCAGATGACCTGCCTTCCTTTCCTCCTTCCCTCACCTGCAGTTTTTCTGCCCCTCCTGCTCCCTTCCTCAGCAAAGATCTTCTTTAAGCTCCCAGTAGCTCCCAGCTCCCTCCTTTTGCCTCAGCTGGGCTGGCTGGGTTTTTTGGCAGAGATGTTCTCTGCTGTGAGTGCCATCTCTTGGCGCTGAATGTGTGTCCTGCCTTTCCCTGGAGGCACCTGTGGCAGGGCAGGGAGCCCTCGTGCAGCAGGCTAGCTGGGTTTTTTGGCAGAGATGTTCTCTGCTGTGAGTGCCATCTCTTGGCGCTGAATGTGTGTCCTGCCTTTCCCTGGAGGCACCTGTGGCAGGGCAGGGAGCCCTCGTGCACGTCCTGCACTTGCAAACACCCCTCTAGACCCCCTGCTTTTGACAAGGGCAAGTGAAGGACACGCTCGTGGCACGGGGGCTGTGTTACCCATCAGACTCCCAATAGGAGGAAGCTGGATTTAGCCCAAACCCCTCTGGTTTCACCCATTCCAGATGTTATTCAGCGGTGGCTGGTGTGTAGTGGGTGAGGTGCCTCCCGTAGTTACCCAGTTCAGGTGGGTTTGTCTTTCCAGCAGCATTTCCAGCCTGGCTGGAAGATTCAAACATGGCTTTGCAGAAGGGGCTGGCTGGGGCCTTTTGGCAGCTGGTGAGTCTGAAGGGCAGGGAGCAAGTGCCCTGGTGGCACCGAACTGCTGAACGCTCTGAGGACCACTGCCTTTCCCTGTTGCAGCAGCACGAGGCCTTTTCTCCTCCACCAGGCACGTGTACCTGGGTTGGTTGGCACAGACCGCCTTTGCTAGTTGTCTTTTTGAGCAGAACTTTCCCCAGAGCAGTGTGACAGACAGCGTGGCCTTGAGGGAAGGTCTAGGAGCTGAGGCTAACCCTCACCCTGGAGTGCACCAGGCCTGGATTACGAATTTCTGCCCAGGTGCTGAGCACTCAACGTGCCAAAGCTGTGAGGGAACAGCAATTCCATGCCAAGGGCCTTCACCCTGTCTCCTCCTTGCTTTGTACCTTCCCTTCCATCCTACCATGGAAGCCCTGGTCAGATGCATCCTGGATGCCCTGGGCACGGCTGGGGAGATGAGGTTGTCCATGGGGCAGGCACAGAGCTTGGTGGAGCTGGCACTTTCCCAAAGCAGCTGCAAGACCGTTAGGACATCACTGTTGGTTTTGGGTTGCAGCATCCCTGTTACCTGAGCTCCTAGAGATCCCTCTCCTTCTCCTGGGCCCGGCGTGGTGTTGGTAGGAAGCTTCTAGCCTTACTTCCCTGGGGTGTTGTGTCTTTATCTCTCGTGCCTGCGTGCCTGGGCCAGCCCTCCCTGCCGCGTCTGGCCACAGGGACAAACCTTTTGGACCAAGCAGAACTCATTTTTTAAAAAGCTACTGGATTCTAAGTAGAACTTGCTTTTTCATCGTATTTTAGCCTGCCTTTAAACACTGACCAGAGGTCAGTGCCACAGTTGTAATCGAAATAAGTGATGTCTGCTGCAGGAATTCTGGAAATTGCTCTTTTTGCTAAGCTCTGGAAGGGGGATGGATGGGAATGCAGGTCCAGCCAGCTCTCCAGCTGGCTCGGAGGAGGACACCAACACGTGGGTGGGAAGCAGTGAGCAAGAAACCAAGCATGACTAAGGCTGGAGCAAGAGATGTTCTAGGAGTGGGCTGGGTCTGATCCCATCTAAGATACCAGGGGGACGTTGCCCCGTGGGGGCTACAAGGCTGTTTGGTTTCCCTCTTCCAAGAGGGGGAGTCTTCCTGTTTGTCCAGGATATGAATTGAGTAATGAAATAAATGTTTTGGAGATGGAGATCCTCGGCTCCTAATTCACCTGCGATCTCTGCTAGAGGGAGTTAGCAGGGCTGACGTGCTGTGGAGGAGTAATCTGGGATGGACAGTGTGGAGAGAGGTGGAATTGCCCCAATGTTTCTTTCTGGGCAGCCTGGGAGGAGCGTGGAGGCTGAGGGAGCCCAGTGCAGCCCCTCTTTCCCTGCAGGCACCCCACTTTGTGTAGACGTCAGTACGGGGGGAGACCTGGTGCTCTGACTGTATCTGCAGCTGACACTGGCTTTGCTTATATCCCCCTCAAGGAAAGGCAAACCCAGGTAACTTCTCCAAACAAGCCCAAGGTGGGCAACTTGGAAGGGGAAGTGCCTGTGTGCTGGGGGGTGAAGCCTTGGTCCTGGCACATTCCAGCCCTGTGGAGCAGCAAGGACCATTCCCTGCCCAGTGGTGAGAGGAGCAGGGCTGGGGGAAGCTTAGAATCATAGGATGGTTTGGGTTGGAAGGGACCTTTAAAGATCAAGTTCCAATACCCCCAGGAACATCTCCCACCAGACCAGATTGCTCAAAGCCCTGTCCAACCTGGCCTTGAACCCCTCCAGGGATGGGACAGCCACAGCTTCTCTGTTCCAGGGTCTCACCATCCTCACAGGAAAGAATTTCTTCCTAATATCTAGTCTAAATCTCCCCTATTTCAGTTTAAAACCGTTACCCCTTGTCCTATCGCTCCACTCCCTGGTCAAGAGTCCCTCCCCCTCTCTTCTGTAGCCCTTTCAGGTACTGGAAGGGTCTATAAGGTCTTCTTGGAGCTTTGTCTTCTCCAGGCTGAACGACCCCAGCTCTTTCAGCCTGTCCTCATAGAAGAGGTTCCCCATCCCTCTGATCATCTTCATGGCCCTCCGCTGGACCCGTTCCAACAGGTCCATGTCCTTGCTGTGTCGAGGACTCCGGAGCTGGACACAGTGCTCCAGGTGGGGTCTCAAGAGCACAGAGGGATAGAATCACCTCCCATGACCTGCTGGCCATGCTTCTTTTGATGCAGCCCAGGATGCATTTGGCTTTCTGGGCTGCCAGTGCACACTGGTGGCTCATGTTGAGCTTCTCATCCACCACCACCACCCAAGTCCTTCTCCTCAGGCCTGCTTTCAATCTATTCTCCGCCCAACCTGTATTTGTGCCTGGGCCTGGTTGAACTTCATGAGGTTCATTCCAGCCCACCTCTCCAGCCTGTCCAGGTCCCTCTGGATGGCATTCCTTCCCTCCGGTGTGTCAACCGCACCGCACAGCTTGGTGTCACAAGCAAGCTTGCTGAGGGTGTGCTCAATCCCACTGTCCATGTTGCTGACAAAGATGTTGAACAGCACTGGTCCCAGTACTGACCCCTGAGGAACACCTCTCATCACTGGCTTCCACTTAGACATCAAGCCATTGACTGCAACTGTTTCAGTGTGGCCATCCAGCCAGTTTCTGATCCACCACATGGTCCATCTGTCAAATCCATGTCTTTCCAATTTAGAGACCAGGATGTCATGTGGGACAGCATCAAACGCTTTGCAGAAGTCCAGGTAAATGACATCTGTTGCTCTACCCTTACCCACCAACGCTGTAACACCATTGTAGGCCAGCGAATTTGTCAACCATGATTTGCTCTTGGTGAAGCCATGTTGGCCCAGGTAAATGACACCTGTTGCTCTACCCTTATCCACCAACGCTGTAACACCGTTGTAGGCCAGTGAATTTGTCAGCCATGATTTGCTCTTGGTGAAGCCATGTTGGCTGTCACCAGTCACTTCTTAGTTTCCATGTGCCTTAGCAGAGATTCCAGAAGGATCTGCTCCATGGTCTTGCTGGGCAGAGAAGTGAGACTGACTGGCCTGGAGTTCCCCAGGTCTTCCCTTTTCTGTTTTTGAAGATGGGGGTTATGTTCTTTTCGAGTCAGTGGGAACTTCACCAGATAGCCACAACTTCTCAAATATGATGGCAAGTGGCTTAGCAACTTCATCTGCCAGTTCCCTCAGGACCTGTGGATGGATTTCATCACATCCCATGGACTTGAGTACCTTCAGGTTCCTTAGATGGTCTTGGACCTGATCTTCTCCCATAGCAGGTGGTTCTTCATTCTCACAGCCCCTGGTTTTGCCTTCTGTGACTCGGGTGGTGTGGTTACAGCCCCTGCTGGTGAAGACCAAGGCAGAAGTCATTCAGTACTTCAGCCTTCTCCATATCCTGGGTGACCAGGTCTCCTGTTTCCTTCTGGAGAGGGCCCACATTTTCCTTAGTCTTGCCTTTATCTCTGACATACTTGTATAAGTTTTTCTTGTTGTCCTTGGACAGATTTAATTCTATCTGGGCTTTAGTTCACCTAATCTGGTTCCTGGCCTCTTGGACAGTTTCTCTGTGTTCCTCCCAGTTTACCCATCCTTGCTTCCATGCTGTGTGGGCCTCCTTTTTGCTTTTGAGCTTCTGCAGGAGCTCCTCGTTCATCCGTGCAGGCCTCCTGACTTTTTTGCCCGTTGTCTTCTTTCTTGGGATACACCACTCCTGAGCTTGGAGGAGGTGATCCTTGGATACTAGCCAGCTTCCTTGGGCCACTCTCCCCTCTAGTCCCTTTTCCCACCTTACCCTGCCAAGCAGATCCCTCAAGAGGCCAAAGTCTGCTCTCCAAAGCTCAGCTCCTCTCCACCAGGAGAGCAGGGATTGCTGCGAGTCTCCATGTTCTGGCTGGAGTTTGTTTGGTGGGTGCTGGTTTTTTTTTTTACTTCTCTCTCTATTTTTTTTTTAATTTTTCTTTTTTAAAGTGAATTCTTGAAAGAAGGTGTCCTTTTTTTTAGCAAAATGGAGCCTGGTGCATCCCCTGCAGGCAGGGATAAGAGCCTGCTCCAGTTGGGTGCCTGCAGGGAGTGGATTTGGAGGGTGTTCAGGAACCTGCTACTGCTCATGGTGGGAAAGTGCTTAAGTCCTGGAAGGGATCCAGAGTAAATATCCCCTTTTCCTCTGCTGCTCCTCGTGCTGGAACTGCTGGGGGGGGGCCCTGGGGCAGGCACAGTGACCAGGGCTGCTTTTCTCCTGCCGGCTGCTCTCCCAAAGGGCTTGTAGATCCCTCCTGGGACTCCAGCAAGGAATGGGCACGGGCCAGCCTGGAGCTTGTGCCGGGTGAGTGGCCACCAGAGCTCACGTTAGCCAAGCCCAGGGGGTTAAATCCCCCTCCTCAACGCAGGCAGGGCTCTGGCTGGGCTGGGTTTCTCTGCCAAGGGTAGGTGGGGGACAGGATCTCATGAAGGTGCTGGTCTTGGTGGGTTTTCTTGCTGTAGAGCTGCCCAAGGGTCTCTTCCCTGGTTCATCTTTCAGGTTAGTTATGAGCCATGTCTCCTTTTTGGGGGGTGGGGGGTGGTGGTGTTACTTCCTCCATTTCAACCCCCTGCTTTTTAGCACCCACCCCCCTCCCCTCTGCTCAGCCTCCTCCTGTCTTAACGGCCTCTGCTCACTCCCTGGCCCAACCTGTGTCCTCATACCAGACCTTCTGGGTGGCTTTGGCCATCTGGATGGATGCCTTCTGGCAACGTTTAATAATTGGGGAGAGATAATTGAGGGCCAAGTTTGGTCCCCGGGTTCTCTTTTACACAGGGGGGCTCCTGTGCAAAATTTTTGGCTTTTTGCTTTTGTTGCTGGTGTTCCCCGTTGCCTTTTTTGTTGTTGTTGTTGTTTTGTTGCTGTTTGTCAGGTGCAGGGCTGAGGTTTTCACGGTTCACATGGTTTATTTCCTTCTAATCCGCACCCACCTTCGATTTCACAGTTTGCACTTTTTGTATTTCAATAAAAATGGAAATGTAATCCCAGATGCAGGTGTGTCTGTCCAGTGGGCAGCAGCTGTGGCACATCTACAAGAAGGAGAAGCAAGGCTGGCCATGCTGCCAACCACAGCCCTGAGGAGAGGGAGGAGTGTGGGTACGGACCAGCTCCTGCTGAGTAACTCTGGAAGAAATACCAGTTTGGAGGAGCCTCAGGCTGGAAATGGAATTAAACCAAAAAATGAAGTGTTTCAAGTTTGGTTCTTCCCTGAGCAGGGCCGGGCTTCCTTGTTACCATCTCCCTGTCACCACTCAAGGTGGACTCAAGCTCGTGGTGTCACCAGGTGTGGAGTTGGAGCCAGCTGCAGGCTCTCTGGTTGGGATTAGCTGGCTAAGTGTATCCTGGTGGCCAGGAGAAGTCCAGCAGAGGCCTCCACCTTCTCTAAATTGACATGGGTCACTAACTCCTGGATGCACAATCTTCTGGTCAGGATCACTACACTCCACCCCTTGATCCACCTACACTTAACTGCCTTTTCCTAAAGACACTGTGATTTGTTGGCTACATCCGTAAGCTTTTTGGCTACTTGAAAGGCTGTTGAGTGCAAAGTGATTACTACAATTAACAGTGCAGGTGAAGGGAACCCAATAGCAGGTGGGAGAAAGGGAGTTGAAGGGAGAGCACTGGAGCTAAAATGGCCACTGGCCTTGTTGTCTGGATGGTGTGTTCATGTTGATGTTAACGCTTTCAGCATCTATAAAACAGCTTTTCAGTTTTAATTACTGATAAGCCATCCAATTAAAGGCTTCCCAGCCTTGCTGGTTCTCCTGCTGTGTGTCGGGGTGACTCGTCCCAAGCTGTCCCCCCTGGACCAGAAGGTGGAGGTGGTTTTGGTGTCTGTTCACAGGTAAGACTTCGTGGTCAGAGTTATTAACTTCCGTACCCACCGTGGCTTCCTGGGCTGTACCTCAGTTTGAGAGTTGAGGGGTTGTTTACTGTTTCTCTGGAGCTTTTTCACCTGGATGGAGCTTTTGGCTGGAGGCTGTGATTTTCCAGCCCTTCCCAACCCTGCGTTGGGGTCAGTGTGGTATCTCAAGGCTGTTATTTGGAGAACACTTGTCTTATTTTAAATACATGCAACAGGCTCAACGAGTTGGGGTCAGTGTGGTTAATACACTGGTCCTACAGCAACATCTCAAGGCTGTTATTTGGAGAACACTTTTCTTATTTTAAATACATGCAACAGGCTCAACAATTGCCTGGTGTTGGATTGTTTATGACCTCGGCCATTAATCATCCTTTTACAACAACTGTTTGCTTTCTCACTTATTTGCTGATGTTTTTTCCCAATCCCTTCTCTTACTGGTGCTGTGGTAGATACTGAAGGCTCAGATCCCCCAGGACATTTATGCCAGTTTGCCAACAATTCATTTCCCTACCCCCATTTTGCAGTGTCTTTTGTAAATGTGTGAAATGATACACACACACACATATAACGTGGATAGATCAGTATCTATAAGGCTCAGTGGGGTGCTTGGTTTTGTGTTTCACTTCCTGAAGATAAGATTAAGAAGAGGTTGCTATTAATAGTCACCCAGGTTCCCCACGCTACACTATTTCCCCTCATTGTTCCTTCAAATATACAGTCATTTTTCTCCTTTTTTTCCCCATTCCTGCCATTCCATCCACTTTCTCTTCTTTATAACAACCAGACGCTCTTTACACTGCAGCTTAAATCAGCAGTGGTTAGTTTTACACAGGGATTTTTAACCATTTTGCCTTTCCTTCAAAGGGAAAGGAGTCAGCACCTTCCATGGTGTGGTGTGTTATAAAGGGTTGACTTTAAGCAACGCTAGAACCCAACTGTTCAGTTTGTCTCTCAGAGGGGCACTGCAGGCAGCGGGGTCTTTCCCCAGGGGTACCCGTGATAACTTTTCCCCCATCTCACTGCTCTCTCCCAACCCTTTTATCAGATCAAAACCTTCCCACCCTCCTTTTAAGGCTCTAGCTCTGATAACTTTTCCCCATCTCACTGCTCTCTTCCAACCCTTCTATCAGATCAAAACCTTCCCACCCTCCTTTTAAGGCTCTAGGAGGAACCAAGTGCAATGCAAATTTTTCTGGTGGTTGAGTTTTGGTTGGGTTGGTTTTCCCCCTTTTCCCACCCCTTTCTTTTGAAGACAATATTTCAGCTGGGGTGGGACACACAGATAATTCAATCTCCCAGTTCGTTGGGGAGGGTCCCCGTGGCCAAACACCGTGGGACTGTCCCCATCTGGGACCAACAGGCCACCCCTTCCATCTTCTCCTCATCATCCCGTGTCCTGGAGAAGAAAGGCTGAGAGGTTGGGACCGCCCCAGAGCCCGTCACTACACGCAGAGAAAAGCCCAAACCAGAGCACTGCTTAGGTAAAAGTTTTATTGGAAATTCTTTGAACACTTAAAGTACATTGGAGACTATTTCCAAAAACGATACCATTTAGGAGCCTTTCCCCTCCACCCAAAGTCTCTGTAACTCAGCAGCTACGTCCATACTGTCCTTAATATAGAAGGGAGCAGCCGGCTGCTAAAATCACCAGCCCTCAGAGCCCCAGCTGTGGCAGCCCACGGCAGCACCTCCATCTGAACTGAAGCAGAGCATTTGTGGTCAGGGAACCCGACGCCGAGATGGAGCCACGACGTGTTGAAACTGAGGAAACGTCCCGAAAAGAGGCGCAGAACTCAACCCCGGAGAATCTCTTTATTGCTATGGCCATCCAGCTCCACACCAGCAGCTTCTACGGGCACATTTCCAGCCTTTGGAAGTAGGAAAAAAACAAACCAAACCCAACAACGTGCCACGCTGATGTTCCACCTTATGAGACGTGGGAGCTGGAGCCAACGAGCACGAGGATTTGGCTCTGGGGACCTTCTAGGCAGGATCAGCAAGAATGGTGAGCTTTCTGCCAACTCCACAGCTTGTCAGCAGGAGAAGAGGACAGCAGGAGCACTTGGCTAGATGAAGTTCAACCCAGTCTGTCCTTCTCCATGTGGACGGTGTGAAACCAGAGCTTTAGCTCATCTCTGCAGCCCAGATGGTATCGCTGCCCCCAAGCACAGCTGGTACGTTGAGAGAAAGGTGACAGCAACCACTTCCTACCTGGTGGCAGAGACTAACTTCATGAGCAGAGGTGAAAACCAGCTGATCTATTCATTCCTCGTGCTCCTGTGACCTTTTCCACCTGTAAAACAAGGTGGCTCTGGCTGCAGGGATGAAGTATTTGTTGAACCCCAGGTAACTCAAGCCTTCTCGTGAGCTGTTTGCCTTGGAAGCTCTCTTAGAAGCTCGTGCATCTGATTTTGCAAGGATTAAGCAATTCCTGTGTGAGGCTGCTGAAAAGCTGAATTGGTTGAGTAGGCTAAAAAGGGTCTGGTGAGTAGTTTTCCTTCAATACGAAAAGCTGAATTGGTTGAGGCTAATAAAGGTTCTGGTGAGTAGTTTTCCTTCAATAAAGCTCTCACCTACAGTTTTTGACCTCTTCTACAGAACACGTCCCTCAACAAAGAAGCTGCACAAGTTCAAAGCTTTGTGTTGCTCTGACCTGACAAGCAGCTCTACTCTGAACTTTGGGTCCTGGCCCAGAAATTGTGTTCTGGAGAGGAGGTGGGGTTCCCTGGCAGCTGCTGGCAATCTCTTTTCTTTGAGAAAGCAGCCAAGTGGAAGAAGCTGCCACGTTGCACTAATGAGAAGGTTGGTCACTCCAGCCGCTCTGAGGAAATTAAGATGGTTCTTCAATACTGAGGCAACACAACCCCACTTCTGGAGAAAGAAAAGGGAAGTGTTTTGGGACAGTAAGGGGTCTTGCAGTTGCTCACTAGTCACACGTGGGAGGGGGAGAGAGAACCAGGAGAGGACCTACCTACCTTATCTAAGTTTCTGTTTAGTGTCACTGTTTCTCCTCCCATCCTTACATCAGGCAAAAGACACGCACCAGCCCAATGAACCACCGAGCGCCGTCAACCACTCACACTGGTGATAGCCACATCATTAAAAAAATAAAATTTCAGCTAATCAAAACCCAGCTGATTAAAAAGTACCGTAAGCTCCCCCAAAATGTGCTTCTTTAAAAAGCTGCCTTCTGAAGGGCCGAAGAACACTCCAAATTCATCCCTGCCCATCAGAATACAGCTTTTTACCTAGTCCCCGTCACTCCACCCCACCACCAAGGTGTGCATTTCATTCTAGCAATGGGCCCTGACTGGCTGCAATGGACACACAGTCCCCAAAAATGAGTATTATATCAGAATAATCAAGTCTGTCTTAGAAAATAAATATTTTGGATATTTTCCTGCAAAGAGAGACCAGTCTCACTGGCCAGGGTTCCGTGGCACACTTGCTGGCTGCAGTGATCCAGGGCAGAACGACCCGCACTTAACTACATGAAAACAGAACATCTTTTTAAATATAGGTTTCTTTAAAAGCAATAAATATTTCTCGATTCTTAAGATCATCTATTAACCAGAAAGCGGGAAGGTCGGCGAGGGTTAGAGGAAAAGAAATCTGGGGCTAAGACTGACTCCTAGTTACATAACCCTAAAGAAATAGGATTCCTAGTATTTACAGTTACATTTCCAAAGCAGAGATTAATGAATTCAGCACGGTGACAGCTGCTGCGTGCGGGCTGGCCGACCGGCAACGCCGCCAAATCCGGCACGGCCCGGGGTCAGTACGCTGGGGAAGGAAGGGATGGAGAGCACTTCTGGGTGGTTTCATTCCCCCTTAACGATGGCCTCGTGCAAAAAAAATGACCGTAGAGACCCAGCTCCTTAAGAAGCAGGAGAACAAAAGGTAACTTGTATGACACGGGGTCCCCGAAGCTGATATCCCCTCCAGGCACTCACGCTCAAGTCAGGATGAAACGCCCCCGTTCTGCAGAATGGATGTCCCAGACTTAAAAAAAAACAACCAACAAAAAAACCTTGTTGAATCTGCTGAACTCACAGGCCTTTGGAAATGAGCCAAAGCTTTCTACGCTCTTAACAGGATCACGGACCGTAGGAAAAACAAAAAAAAGGTCTCGTTAGCAAGAGCTACAGGTGGGGAACCAACAGTAGGACCTCTGGAGGAAGCGTGTGGCAACTTTTGACAAAGCCCCTCCACGCAGAACGGAGACCCAAGAGAAAATAAGGTTCATTCGTTGGAGTTTGGCTTCCCCTGAAGCTACTGGAGTCTTGAATTTGAAACTGAGCGTGAGCAGGAAAAAGCAGCCCAGAACTAGGCGGTGGTGTCAGTTGAGGAGAACCAGCAGATGAGCTGTGTCTGCTGCTGAGGACAGCAATCGATGAAAGCTCACTGGATGGAAGGGACTAGTCGAGGTGAGACGAAAGGCAGAGCAGGGGCGACAGAGATACTCATTGAGGTCATTCTCCAGGATGCCTTGAGGAGGAAGAACTGCTGCAGGAAACCAGCTTCACTGCAAGGTTTCTACAAAGGCATCAAACTCTTTGACGTTTTTCTCGTGGACTGCCAGCTTCTCTGGTAACGAGTCCTGGGAGGACAGAGAAGGGGGGAGATCAGTGGAGATCAGGGCCCGTTCACAGCAGGTAAAAGGAAACTTGAAAACACATGCTTTGAGGCAAAAATGCTGTTTCTGAGCCGTGCAAGCCCTCCCCACTGCTCTGGGCTCCACCTCCCACGTGCACAAAGCCACAAGTCCTCTAGCAGCACCCAGCCAGTGACCCCGAGGAGGGCACCCTGCCCAGGGTGTGTTTGTTCTGCAGGAACAGCAAGTGCACTGGGGCCTCACCTTGTGCAATTCCCACCACCGGCTGCGGCGCAATGACCTGCTGGTGTCACTGCCTTCATGGAGCCACCCGAAGCTCTGAGCTTTTTGGGTTAATTTTTCCCCACAGCACGTTGCAGTGCCTGCAAGCCCAATGCCTCACTCACCCTCAATGTGAGTTTCACCAGCCCCACCAGGATTTTACCAATACTCTGCTCTGCACTGGTGAGGCCACAAGTGGAGTACTGCATCCAGTTCTGGGCTCCCCAGTTCAAGAGAGACAGGGAACTGCTGGAGAGAGTCCAGCGTAGGGCAACAAAGATGATTAAGGGATTGGAGCATCTCCCTGGTGAGGAAAGGCTGAGAGAGACTCGACTCTTTAGCCTGGAGAAGAGAAGGCTGAGGGGAGACCTTATTGATGCTGACAGTATATAAAGGGTGGGTTGAGGGAGGATGGAGCCGGACTCTTTTCAGTGGTTCCCAGTGACAGGACGAGGGGCAACGGGCACAAGCTGGAACATAAGAGGTTCCACTCCAATCTGAGGAAGAACTTCTTTGGGGTGAGGGTGGCAGAGCCCTGGAAGAGGCTGCCCAGGGAGGGTGTGGAGTCCCCTTCTCTGGAGATCTTCAAGCCCCACCTGGATGCTCCTGAGTAACATGCTCTGACAAGCTCTGGGCAATCCTGCTTCAGCAGGGGAGTTGGACTAGATGATCTCTATGGTCCCTTTCAACTCTAAAATTCAGTTAAATTCAGTAAAGATCAGGCCCAGTTTGCCACTAAGTTTGACACACCAGAGCTGGGATTATCAGGCCCAGTTCACCACTAAGTTTGACACACCAGAGCTGGGATTAGTTTGGGGGGTTTGAATGACACAAAGCCACAGCAGCAGCCTTCAGCTTGAAGATCAGAGGATCATAGAATTGTCTAGGCTGGAAGGGACCTTTAAGATCATCGAGTCCAACCATCAACCCAACACTGCAAAAGATCTAGCACAACAAACAAGGCTTTAAGTAGTTACTAGTGAAACAGGTTTTCTATAGTACAGAAGTTTTCAATGCCTGGTTTGCACCTCTAGTGGAAAGCAGTGGCTTGAGTTGCTCCCCCAGGCTTTCACAACACTGACAGTCTATTTCCAGCTCCATTTCAGCTTCTTTATTCTTAAAATCTTTTCTCGATATACGCCATAGAAGAGAGGGTCACTGATCTATGCAATCAGTCCACTGCAGCTGCAGTTATTGATTCATTAAATTCATTAAACTATCTTCTTAAGTACTAACATAGAAAAAGCCCAGTCTTTCGACATGAACTATCATCAACAAAGCAAATTAGAACTTTAGTTCTAATTCAGGCACCAATAGTTCTAGTTCAGTCCAATTTCACACTAGAAATAGTGTGAAATGCCTGAAAGAGAAACAGACCAGTTTCAGAGGCTCGTGTGTGCCATTACGTTTGTCTGAAATACATTAATGGGGGTCTAGATGACCTTTAAAGGGCCCTTCCAACCCAAACTATGATCCTATGAAGACGCGTCTCTTTTCAAACTAGGAATAGGGACGTATGATTCCCACAAACAGAAGTTTTGGGGTTCCATACCAAATCCTCTGCCATGGACTGCGCTCCAATGTCGATGGAGAGGCTGCTGAGTTGAGGGGGGTTCTGAAACTCACGGTAAAAAGTCCCCAGGTCCATTGGAAGAATGTCATCTTTTGAAAATGCTGGTTTCTAGAATCAGAGATACCGCCGTTAATTCCCATTCAGAGACTCTGGCTTCCCTTTTGTCATAACCTCAGGTAAGGTCATTCCCTGCCATCAGTAAACAGCTCGGTACCAGTTCCAGAGGCTCGTGTGTACCATCACGTTTGTCTGAAATGCATTAATGGGGGTCTAGATAACCTTTAAAGGGCCCTTCCAACCCAAACTATGATCCTATGAAGACGCGTCTCTTTTCAAACTAGGAATAGGGACGTATGATTCCCACAAACAGAAGTTTTGGGGTTCCATACCAAATCCTCTGCCATGGACTGCGCTCCAATGTCGATGGAGAGGCTGCTGAGTTGAGGGGGGTTCTGAAACTCACGGTAAAAAGTCCCCAGGTCCATTGGAAGAATGTCATCTTTTGAAAATGCTGGTTTCTAGAATCAGAGATACCGCCGTTAATTCCCAGTCAGAGACTTTGGCTTCCCTTTTGTCATAACCTCAGGTAAGGTCATTCCCTGCCATCAGTAAACAGCTCAGCATTATTACTGCTGCTGCAATAATGAATATTAAATAACTGAAGAAGAGCCAAGATCTGTGCTTGCCCGAGCACTTGGAAGAGAGGATTTCCTTGGAATCTGGCTGCTTTAGGCATTAGAGAGAGGACGGCAAGCCCAGGTCTTGGTAGGGAACTGAAAGAGTATTTAACTTGTAGCTGCTGGTTCTGAGTATCAGTGTCTTTGCAGTTTTGGGACAGTCAAGCTGTAGTTTTGAAGTGTCAATCACGAGTCTTTCCCACCCCCACTGAAAGCTACTCCCACACCATCTGCCATTGTCCCAGCACCTGAAGCCCATCTAAGATGCAGGTGAGAGCACAGCTGAGGGCACTTACAAAGTCAATCATAACAAAGTCATCGTGGGTGTTCCCTGTGCTGCTGCCACTGGAGCCCTCCGAGTGTAAGCTGCCTTGGAGAGGAGATTCAGTTTCTGGGGAGTCAGGAGGATTGACCTGCCCAAGAAATCAAAGCTGGTGAGTACTGGTCTTATGATCACATCCTTCTGTGTACTTTGACAGTGTGGGGGCAGTTAGGAGGTTGGACACGTGCTACAGCAGGGGCAGCAAACACAAATTGTTATTTGCACGTCTAAAGAGCCCAAGACTCAACGTGGGAGGTTTCTTGAAACCAAATAAATCTGAATGACTAGTTCTTTGCTCAAAAACAAAGCGTATTCAAGGCAGGGAACAGCACAAGTGTTGTGTAAGCTGAGAAGGCACATATTATACCTCTGGAAGAGGCTTACCATGGGGTCGTTATCTTCCAGCTCAACATTCTTGGGAGCAAACATGGCAAAAGGAATGTCTAAGTTGGCCATGGTCACCTGAGGAGATTCAGCAAACAGAATTTCACTAAGATGCTCTGCTTACCCAGCACAGAAAAGGATACTGAAAGTCTTTGTCAGGCCTGCTAAAAATTGCCCAAGATCAAGTCAGCAATTAGGCAGGAGGCTGACAACCTCATTTAAAAGGCATAAAATAGGGAGATTGTACTCAGCTGACCTAATGCAGATACATACCCTGAGGTGGGACTGCTTATCTACATCTTGTATAATACAGAGAAGGATTAACTAACTGCTACAAATTCAAACAATTCCCCTTCATCCATCCAAAAAGCCTAGAAGAGGGCTTAAAAAACTTATTTAAGAGCAGCTTTAGGAGCTGGGCCAATCTCTAAGCTGTCCTAGCTGAGCTTAAATACTTGCTTGCTTGTGAAGAACTGGTCTACTGCGTGTCCCTTCCAAGAAGGGAGGTTTGCTACCAGCTTCCCCAGTTTATGAACCTTTGATAGTGGGACCCAAGGGGCGTTTCAAGGCTTCCATACCCAAATAGGGTGTTGGCAAAGTAGGGCAAGTAGGATGGCTGTCAAATCCCCAAAGGATTTTTTGAAAAACCATCCCTGTAGGATGGTAGGTCCCTGTAGGGAACTGCAGGAAGTAAGACTATGCACGCTCAGTCTCTGGGGGGTGCCCTGGCATTGGGGTGCTTTTTGAACAGATGGGAGAAGAAAGGTATTACAGTGCCCTCTGAGAAGATCTACTGCCAGTTACCTGGTTAATGGGTTTGTTGACAAAAGCTCCCACCTTCCGGATAAAGATGGTCTCCAGAAGGTCATGTGGGGAGCCACACTTCCCTTCGCTGCTGTTGGATACCGTTTCTGTGTCCTCACTGGGGGAGGAAAACAGGCTAATTAGTGCCTCATGGCACAACCAATATAGATAAATCACATGCTTTACAAGACTTCTTTGGTTTTTTGGGTTTAGTCTTAGCATTGGAAGGAGGACAACAGAAGTCTCTGTCCTTGGGCCCCACCTTCCTCCTCAGTCATGAGCATGAAAAGGGAGGAGTGGGACACTTGTGGGACCAGATTTCTGTTTGAAGCTGGAAGAAAACTATTTAGTTGAATGAAAAGTTGCTGGCAACTGAAATAGCTTTTTCTTATTGGAGATGGAATTTTAACTTCAGAATGTGCACATTCACAGCAATTCCTGTTCATGGCTGTTATTTTTTCAGTAAGACAGCATCACAGATAAGTCAGGAGGTGGGGGCAAGAACCAGAATCCTGTCAGGTTACAAAGGCAGGGCTATTATTTTTTCAGTAAGACAGCAGTCACAGATAAATCAGGAGGTGGGGGCCAGAACCAGAATCCTGTCAGGTTACAAAGGCAGCAGCCTGATACATCACAACAGGTACTCAGAACTTTGAAACAAACAAAAAAAAATAAAAATGATTGAGTCTTCTGGCAAGGTGACCGCTCAGACAGCACACCCAGGAACGTGCTGGTGCAACTGTGAGGTTTGGTTTCCTCATAACAAAATCTCTGCTTCAGATACTTGACTCAGAACTATGTGACCCCAAGAGAGGCTTCACAAGAAAGAAATAAGGTGGCAAAAAGAAAAAAAAGGATTTAATAGGTGAAAATGAGGTGATTTAGGACAGTTTGAGGTTGCATTGTTTACTTTGAAGTAATTTTGTGCCTAAAGTTTCTTAATAAAGTAGTGAATAGATCTGCAGCAACTGTTTTTGGTAACAATTCACGTTGAGTATCTGGAGAATTTAAGAATCGTGAATTTATTTCATCTTGTTGTTTTACAATCAGCAAAGTCAGCAGACTGATTAGAAAAAGATAAATTTGATAATAAAGTTGCAAGGATGTTACAGTGACCAGGAGGTGTAAGTAAGATGGATAAGGACCATTGGAAAAGGGTGAAAAAGCCCCCATCTGAGAAAGCTGCTCATTGTTTTGGGGAAGACAGTAGTTACGCTACAAACAATAGCTAAAAAAGGGGAAACCACAAAGTTTTACCTGAACAGGATTAGAAATGGGGTAGCACAAGTGGCAGATCACCTAAAACCAACCTACCTACTAGAAGGAGTAGCTGCTGAGTAGTGGACTCCATCCAGTGGGGTGCACATCCTTTCTTGGTCAGCTTGAGTGCCATGTGCTGGCTGGCTGGGAACTGGGGGAACTCCCCCGATTGTTTGCTTTGAAGTAATTTTGTGCCTAAAGTTTCTTAATAAAGTAGTGAATAGATCTGCAGCAACTGTTTTTGGTAACAATTCACGTTGAGTATCTGGAGAGTTTAAGAGTTGTGAATTTATTTCATCTTGTTGTTTTACAATCAGCAAAATCAGCAGAGACACTAGAAAAAGATAAAATTGATAATAAAGTTGCAGTTGATAGAAGTTGCAAGGATGTTACAGTGACCAGGAGGTGTAAGTAAGATGGGTAAGGACCATTGGAAAAGGGTGAAAAAGCCCCTATCTGAGAAAGCTGCTCGTTGTTTTGGGGAAGACAGTAGTTACACTACAAACAATAGCTAAAAAAGGGGAAAACACAAAGTTTTACCTTAACAGGATTAGAAATGGGGTAGCACAAGTGGAGGTGACCGCTCAGACAGCACACCCAGGAACGTGCTGGTGCAACTGTGAGGTTTGGTTTCCTCATAGCAAAATCTCTGCTTCAGATATTTGACTCAGAACTAGGTGACTCCAAGAAAGACCTCATAAGAAAGAAATAAGGTGGCAAAAATAAAAAAAAAAAAAAAGAAGGATTTAATAGGTGAAAAGGAGGTGATTTAGGACAGTTTGAGGTTGCATTGTTTGCTTTGAAGTAATTTTGTGCCTAAAGTTTCTTAATAAAGTAGTGAATAGATCTGCAGCAACTACAACTGTTTTTGGTAACAATTCACGTTGAGTATCTGGAGAGTTTAAGAGTTGTGAATTTATTTCATCTTGTTGTTTTACAATCAGCAAAATCAGCAGAGACACTAGAAAAAGATAAAATTGATAATAAAGTTGCAGTTGATAGAAGTTGCAAGGATGTTACAGTGACCAGGAGGTGTAAGTAAGATGGGTAAGGACCATTGGAAAAGGGTGAAAAAGCCCCTATCTGAGAAAGCTGCTCGTTGTTTTGGGGAAGACAGTAGTTACACTACAAACAATAGCTAAAAAAGGGGAAAACACAAAGTTTTACCTTAACAGGATTAGAAATGGGGTAGCACAAGTGGCAGATCACCTAAAACCAACCTACCTACTAGAAGGAGTAGCTGCTGAGTAGTGGACTCCATCCAGTGGGGTGCACATCCTTTCTTGGTCAGCTTGAGTGCCATGTGCTGGCTGGCTGGGAACTGGGGGAACTCCCCCATCTTTGCCTGGACCGATCAGCTGAGATGGAGAGGAAGGGTCGTCAGCAGACTGATTAGAAAAAGATAAATTTGATAATAAAGTTGCAAGGATGTTACAGTGACCAGGAGGACCAACGCATGCACTATTCCAAGGTCTCTGTCAGGTGTACAAGTGACACATAATGGTTGCAACACCAGCCATGCTTCTTCTACCCTCTACAAGTACCTGGTGAGGGTGTGCAGCATTCAAGCCACCAGCAAAGAGCAGAGGGTACCCCATGTCAGCTGATCCAACTCCCAGGGCAGCGGGCTGATAGGAAAGACGAGAGCTGGAAAGCTAAGGAAGAAGAGAAAAAAAACAAAGAGGGGCAAAGGGAGAGGAGGGAGGGAGGAAGGGGAAGGCCCCACAGTCTGAATAATCACCAGTCACTGAAGAAGGAACAGGAAAAGACAGAGTGGCAGAAGGATGCCAGGTTTTCACTGGAACCAATCGTGAAGGTTATTATTCTAAAAAGTTCTTATTGTAGACAGGTGTCAGCTTATTTTGTCTGATGAATGGTTGCAAATATGCCAAAGTGGACTGTCAATGTATCCTACATCTAGGCTGCAGTGCTGTGCTTGGGCAGCATCTCTAAAACAGCCCAAATTTGGAACCAGTGACCCGCTGGTGCAGGCAAACAGGTCTGGTTCCCTGCTCTCTTGGCATAGTTTCTTCCTTCCGTAGTTTCTTCCTACCCTGCCCCAAAATCAAGGATGCTGAGGAGCTAATTCCCAGCTCCTGGGCAAACTGTGCTTTCTCTGTGTCTCCCCTAGACCCTTCTCATTCTTGAAGGACAGGGTAAGGCCAACACCACAGCGCAACAAAGAGCCAATTTGGTCATTTTGGGACTAGTCGTGGGGTTTTTGGTGCATGATTGGGCTCTAGTCCCGCGTGAGGCAGAGAGAGGTGCCAAGCAGAAGGTGACCACCACAATATAAACTGGTTTTTGTTCCCTACACCGCAGAGCAATCTGGTCATACATCCTCTGCTTCAAGGAGAGAGGGTGGGGGGAAGAAATAATTGTATCCTCTTGCTGCCATCACAGTGTAAGCAAAACTCTAGTGGAGAAGCAACATCACAGGCAGAAAAAGGCAGGTGTCAGCTTATTTTGTCTGATGGATGGTTGCAAATATGCCACTATGGACTGTCAGTGTATCCTACGTCTAGGCTACAGTGCTGTGCTTGGGCAGCATCTCTAAAACAGCCCAAATTTGGAACCAGTGACCCGCTGGTGCAGGCAAACAGGTCTGGTTCCCTGCTCTCTTGGCATAGTTTCTTCCTTCCGTAGTTTCTTCCTACCCTGCCCCAAAATCAAGGATGCTGAGGAGCTAATTCCCAGCTCCTGGGCAAACTGTGCTTTCTCTGTGTCTCCCCTAGACCCTTCTCATTCTTGAAGGACAGGGTGCCAACGCATGCACTAGTTCCAAGGTCTCTGTCAGGTGTACAAGCCACACGTAACGGTTGCAACACCAGCCATGCTTCTTCTACCCTCTACGAGTACCTGGTGAGGGTGTGCAGCATTCAAGCCACCAGCAAAGAGCAGAGGGTACCCCATGTCAGCTGATCCAACTCCCAGGGCAGCGGGCTGATAGGAAAGACGAGAGCTGGAAAGCTAAGGAAGAAGAGAAAAAAAAACAAAGAGGGGCAAAGGGAAAGGAGGGAGGGAGGAAGGGGAAGGCCCCACAGTCTGAATAATCACCAGTCACTGAAGAAGGAACAGGAAAAGACAGAGTGGCAGAAGGATGCCAGGTTTTCACTGGAACCAATCGTGAAGGTTATTATTCTAAAAAGTTCTTATTGTAGGGGACTGAGTCTGGGCCCTGCACACAGAGGGGCAGGCTGTGCAGGGTATGACTGACATCCAGTCACAGGGCAGCTCTGCTCTACAGGCCTGTTTCACATACTGGAAAAAGCATGAATGCCATCATCAAGTTTAATTAAAGAGCTAATAGTTAATATTTCCCCAGTGGAACCAAAAGTGGAGGTTATTATTCTAAAAAGTTCTTATTGTAGGGGACTGAGTCTGGGCCCTGCACACAGAGGGGCAGGCTGTGCAGGGTATGACTGTCCAGTCACAGGGAAGCTCTGCTCTACAGGCCTGTTTCACATACTGGAAAAAGCATGAATGCCATCATCAAGTTTAATTAAAGAGCTAATATTTAATATTTCCCCACCCCCCAAAAACAACTGCATTATCAACTGTTTGAATCTATTCCCACTGCATGTTAAAACAGCTGATCTTCAGGGTCTGTTCAGCTTCAGCCAAAGAATACAGAGTTCAGCTAGTTAAGCTGAACGTTCTTCTTAGAGGAGAGCAGGCATAATATTGTACCATGGTTTGCTCCTAGAGGTACCCTGCCAGCTTGACTCTTTCTGAGGAGCTCCTCAGAAGTCCCTTAAGGACTCCTAGGGAGTGTTGCCACCCATATTACCTCTGTTTAAGAAATCTTCAGTATCTACAGCCATGCTTCTCCATTCTTTAACCATTTTTCCAAGTCCTGTCTTATTGTTACCATTAGAACTGTAAAACTTTTAACCTCAAACTGCTTCGTTCTCCACCTGCCTTTAGAAATCCTCTGGCAGCTCTGTGGTAGCTGAGTGTTCCTGGTTTGGTTTTTATTATTTTTTTTTTTTAATATTTCTCTGTCCTCTGTTGTGAGAGACTTGCACAAACACGAGGAACATGACTTTAGACAAACCTGCAAGATGTGAACAAAGAACAGTAATTCAGGTCTTCAAAAGGTGTTACTTGTAACCAGGAAGACAGATGAAGTGAGGGTGTTTTGTTTGGTTTTTTTGTTTGGTTGGTTGGATTTTTTTGTGGTTTGTTGTTGTTGTTGTTGGTTTGGGTTTTTTTTCCTTCCTCCTTCAAATTCCTCCTCTGTTTTAACCCAGGAAAAGTTCTAACTGGTGACTGTGCAGATTCTAGGGATGCTGGCTGTTAAGAGAGAACACTCAGCACTGTGCCTTACTGCTTTGTGTCTTTTGCTAACAATTAATCCTTGCAAGAGCTGCTGGTTATTCAGGGGTGCTTGCCCTGTCTTTGGGACATCTGCAAATGCCTTTAAGCAGCCTGGCCCGGCCCATTTTGGGTTCACCAGCCTTTCCCACACACAACAAACATTCCACATTGTCAAATTGGTACTTTCCCATATTTGTTCTGTCACGCCAGAACTGTATCTGGCCAGGGATAGCATATTCTGTTGACAACTCACTTGATGTGAAAAGGCCAGTCCCATCACTGGGACCTTCAAGGTGTCCGTCACCACGGGAGGAGGGGTCTGAAAGTGTGCCTTTGTGACAGTAAAAACACACTGTGCACAGACACAGACACACAGAGGAAACAAGGAAAAGAGAGAGTGAGAGAGGGGGGAGACAGAAAGAGAGAGAGAGAAAGAGAGAAGGACTTCAGAGAAGAACTATAAAGAGTTGGATGAACTGAATGCTAGTGAGGAGGTTGTGGCTGCAGCAGCCACACCTGAGCAGAAGGCTCAGCAGTGCCAGAAGCACATCTGGTTGGTGAAGGATCAACTGTGCTCCAATCTCAGAGAACCACTCAACGCAGGCAATATTTTAAGAGTCCAGTGAACGCTGACAGAAAGTAACTGCCAGAGATTGTTCCACAGCTAATTAGAATCGGCACCAGCCAATTAGCAAGGAGGAGGCTGAGTGGATGGCAGAAAGGGCAAGAGGGTTTTTTTGGTACGTGGGTGTTTTTGTTTTTTTTTTTTTAAAGCCAAGGGGTTTTTTGGGTTTTTTTGGTAGGTGGGTGTTTTTTTTTTTTTTCAGGACATTCAAATGACACGTATTTGAGTACTCTCTCCATCGACACACACTCCAGATCTTCAGTGTTTTGGGGGATCATATCTTGGCAGGTCTCTGCTACACCCTTGGAATATGATGTTCCAGTGTTCTTGGGGATCGTACCTTGGCAGGTCTCTGCTACACCCTTGGAATAAAGGGACCCAGACTAATGTGCAATTCAAAGGCATTGGTATGGAGAGAGAACACCCTCAAAGAGGAGTGATGCTCCACAAGTGGACGCTGTCTCAGAGAGGGTACTGATGCAAAAAGGGCAATCTAAACCTTGTTCAGTCCCGTACCTTCTCCCAGCCATTTTTCTACCAACAGTTTTCAGTTTTATAAAGGTTTCATTTCTGGGTATTATCCGTGGCCAGACTTCTGAATTTTGGGCTGTTCCACAACACACACAGAGGTGCTATGCAAGCCCACAGGGAGAAGGTAATGCTCTTCCCCTGTATCATGCAGGTTAGGTCTCATTTCTACTGGGAAGGAAGGCAGAGATTTGGACAATGTGCCTTCAGAACCACACATCTCCCAGTATTTTCCTACACATTACACTGGATATAGAAAGCAGGAGAAAGAAATTAGCTTTTTTTTTTTTTCTTTGTATACAGAAAGCAGGAGAAAGAAATTAGCTTTTTGGTTTTTTCTTCCCCCTTCTAATTTACTTTAGAGACCACTCTGCCAAGACAGCCTTACATTTCTAACTGTGGTAACAAAGACTGGCAGTTGCTTTATAAATAAGTGCAGAGCATGTGGCAACTATGAGCCACAGGAAAGGCAAGAACTTCATATGAATCCTCAAGGTTCATCTGGTTTCATAAAGCTTTTCCCCTCAGGGACAGCAAAGCTTCATGTCCCCTGGGGAAATGTCAACTTCCATGTATTTATATACACTATTAGTGTTAAGTAGCACTGGCAGGAGCAAGCCAGTGGAAATCTCTTGAGGAACCCTTCTGAATTTCACCCTCTTTGTGAAAAGGCAGGACACAACTCGGCTGCAAACTCCTCTCCTGAGCTGTGTATGGCACGACAAGAAAAGCTTTATTCCATCAGACTTACCATGAGCGTTGGCTGATTAGTTCGACACTTGGCACAAAAATGGTCCCTAAAAAAAGCTCATTTCTGGCTCATTCATAGGGTAGAATACATTCTGCTAAGCCAGCCATACTAATTCCTCTGAATCAGTAGACAGA